AGCAGAAGAGAATTCTTTAAAAAACATTAAAAATCTTACTGTTCAAAAACTTTTGACTGGTATGTCAGCCTATAGTTTGAAGTAAAAAATATTAATATTAATATTAATAAGGAGAGTCTGAGATTTATTTGACAGTGATTTCACATTTCTTGTTTGTATGAAGGCTAAATACCAATAAAAGGCGAACAATTATTTATTTGCTCAATTTTTTTCCAAAAATATTATATAGTTTTATAGGAGTAGGTTTCATAGAGTTGGCAAATACATTTTTCATAAGTTTGTAGGAACAGACATCTGTTGTGGCCGTTCTTGGCCGTTTTTATGAGGCTTTTTTAATAGTGTTCATATCGATATCGGAATTATAACGTATCGATAAATTTTGGCCATATCGTCTAGCCCTACATGAACCTTTAACCCACAGCGATAGTTCTCAACTCTTCAGATAATAATTAATGAACAACACAAAGGATTCAGTGAGTGAGGCACTGAATGCAAATATTCAAGAACCGTTAATGGAACCAAATGTCATGAAAATCATAAGTGGTTCTCGGTTCCTAACCCTAGTTTTTGTCCTGCTGGTTGATCCCTGCTCACATACGACATGCTTTCCATCAGTTGTGGACTAATGACCTATTTGTTCTTACATTGTTTAACAAAACCCAATCAATCCACCGCTGTCACTGTAACTCCAGATGATCTTTGTGCTCCTCTTAGCATGTGCTATGACACCACCTTTCCATATGAAAACAATGCAGAATTTCCATCACATTATGAAACCCATTCAAACACCAGTTGCATTACATAATGCTGCTACAATGCATTTCACCTGACTCTATTCTACACCTACAGTACCTAGCCTATATTTTACTGAACATACAGCTTACGTATTACTTCATACTAAGGTGATATATCTTTAGTGGAAGGCTGACAGGTACCCACCCTCTCTTTTCATTCCCATAGCCAGGCACTTCTGATAGCGGCAGTACTGGCAGCGATTGCGCTGTCGTTTATCGACCAGACACTCCTTGTTGTCCCTGCAGGTATAGCTCAGGTCCTTCCTGACTGTGCGCTTGAAGAAACCCTTACAGCCTTCGCAGCTGTACACACCATAATGCTTCCCTGCACACACAAATCATCGCCACATTACCTCTGAGCTGCAAAGAAATGCATTTTTCAAAACATTCACTGTAAACAACATCCCCTGTGTAATGGCCTACTAGGGTCAATGGCAAACATAAACGTTCACGATAAAGAAATGCAACAAAAGTCCAGTTTAATGCAAAAGTTTCATCTTTATGAAAAATGTCATGTGGTGTAAGTAGTGTTTTCCTTACACTTTGAATGCATATGAGTGTAAAGATCTTAATTATTTTCAAAAACATTATCAAATATATTTATATATATTTAAGGTAAAAGGTAATAATTACAAATATTGTAAATTATTAATTGATAATTACAAATATTCAGCAATTTATCAATAATAAGCTGTTAACCGGTTAAGCAGTTTGTTCAAATATATTTTTTATTATTAAGAAATAAACATATAGATAATGCGAGATTCCTTAGTACAGTTTTTTTTTTTTTCAAGAAATTTCATTCTTTTAATGAGGCTTTTTTCTTTATTATGATGTCAGGACAGTTGTACTACCTTGACATATTTAACCTTATGCCTCCCAAAAAATATCTAAATGAATTTTGTTTCGGAAAATTAAAAACATGCTTTTTGCAGATGAGATGTATCTAAGTGAATATGAGTTGGAATCATAATGTACTTAATGACTGAATGAATGAATGAATGATTGTTTAATGAATAAATAAATGAATGAAATGACTAGATCCAGGCAATAATGAGCACCACAATTTCAACCGAGACAGCAAACAAAACGAATTTTCGGGTTTGGCTGCATCTTCGGTGGCGCTTTATGTGTAAGCATCTATTTCATGCGCAATACAGATTAGGGCTGTCAAAATGGCTGAAAAACTCAATTCGAATTTTGTACTTAAATATTATCAAAATTCGAATTATATTCTAATTTAAAATGCATAATTTCAGTTAGGGTGAAGAAAAGCTTTTGGCTTCTCTCCTGAGGCCACCAAGAGGGCGCATCATTCAAAACATAAGATAACATGACTATCTGCGGAAAAAAAAGTGCATAATGTTTAAAATAACATTTATAAACCAATTATAATTAAGTTGCTTAAACAACTATAAACAAAACAGCATCATGTATGTATGCATAGTTTAATACAAAGGGTGGAAAGCCAATCACACAAAGTACATTTTTCATTTAAAAACATGAGCTGCAGTGGGATGGGGAAAAAACCCGCCATAAAGTCTCGAGTAGGGCTGCACGATTAATCGAATGCGATTGTCATGCGCGTTTAGTCAGTAAAGCCGGTTCTGTAATCAGCAGTAAATCATCATCACGTGCTTTCAGATGGAGCAGCATTTACTACACATAGCCGTAGTTCACTGAAAAGTTGCGCAAAAAAAATCAATAGATTTTATTGCGCGATTCTGAAATCGAAAAAATCGTTTGCGATAATGACAGCTGTTTGCATAGCTCACATTTTTACTCCAAACTCACTTCATAATGTTAGTCGAGTGTTTGAAATAAATCCTTCTGTGAGATGGTGGCTTCTTAGATAGAATAAGGCACGCAACATATTTCATAGTATTCTAAGCAGTGATAAAGGCATTGCATTATAAATATACTTTATTTTAATGAAAACGGTTTTGATGTAAACAAGATCTTCTCCGCATTGATGTTCTCTTTTTCTGCTATATTTTTTAATGAACAATGCAGCAGTGCCACATTTAGTGGCTTCAACTGGATAGGCTAACAAAAACATTATAATGCAACGACACTTACATTGTCATCGCATCTCGTGCGCCGCTGATAAGGCTGCCTCCTTAACGCACACCTAAAACGTTTTTGCATTCGAATGTGGATTTTTATTTTAAATTAAACGAATATTCGAAATTCGAATTTTTTTTTTGACAGCCCTAATACAGATAATGTATTCCATCCTGTGTGGATGCTAGGGCTGGGTTGACAATAATGTTTTCTTGATTTTAATTAGGGCTGCACGATAAATCGCATGCGATATTTAACGCGCATCTTGTCAGAAAGCCGGTTCTGTAATCAGTGGTAAATCTCCATCACGTGCGTGCTTTCACATTGAGCGGCATTAACTACACAGAGCCGTTGTTCACTGACGAGCTGCGCAAAAAATCACGCGAATATGAACGTGGTTTTGCGCAGATCGTCAGTGAACAACGGCTGTTTTTTTTATTTTAATCAATCTTTTTTATCATTTAGTCAACTTTATCATGATATTCAAACAATAAATGGCATTTCGACACTCTTTACTGTGGCATGACAGATGGCTGAAGTTAAGTTTACCACTGCATCTTTCTGAAAAAAAAATGCAGCGATTGAATATAGTTTATTTATAGTTATTTTCAAATCTTCAATGTACTGTCATTATAAAATAACTTCATTGTTGTTTATTTAATGGAACAAATAAGTTCTTGTTAAAAACTAACCAAAATTAAAAAACAATTTGCTTATAATTTCTGCACAGGAGAGAATTGGTATCGATATCGGCATCGGCTATCGGCCAAAATGAGTTGGAAAATATCGGCATATCGGATATCAGCAAAAATCCAATATTGTGCATCCCTATTATTTAGTGTTGATTATTATATCTAAAAATAAGATAGCAACTGAATTTAATAGTTGTTCATTTTAACCTTTAATATTAAATACCTAAAAGTCAACTAAAGCTTTACAGGGGACCCTGCCAATAATGTATAGTTTACAGCTTTAAATGAGAGAGATTTTTTTTCTTAAGAATAACTGACATGTACTATTCCTGATATATAACCGAACTGATATCAAACTGAATCAAATTGAGAGCCCTGGTGAACAAACGTCTTTGTGGCCAAAAATATATTTACATTTAATTAAGATCTTTACACTTAAATTTTATTTCAAAACCAAAACAGTCCAGATTTTTCCGCTAAATGAAAACTTGGGTGCAAAAATAAACTGGGTGCATCACTAATAATCAATCTGAAAGCTCTATGTTCTAGTACACACCCGAGGAACGGTCCCCACAAATGGCGCACATGCGTTTCTGGGACAGCATTGGCCCAGAGCCACTGACAGACTTCAAGCCAAAAGAGGGTTTCACATCATCAGAGCTGCTGACAGCATGTAACCCAGACACAGACATTGAGGAGTTTATCTGCATGAGGTAAATAGACAAGGAGTGATGAGAAAACCAAAGTCATCAGCACAGTAAAAGTCTATCAATTCAGCCCTATTATCATATGGATAAGTCCAGAAGTACTTGAACATGCGGCTCACCTGAGAGTTGCTGATGGGTCCATAGCCGACGGATGGTGTGCCGGGAACGCCGGGAGAGCCGATGGACGAGCTGACGACTGACAGTGGCGAATCTACGGAGCTGACAGGGCTACTGACGGCAGAAGTGGAGGGCGGTATGGAGTTCATAGATGCACACTAGACTGGCCAATAGAGAGGAGACTGTTGATCGTTGATAATCTACTGAAAGAGAGTGGACACAAAGAGGGTTTTAGACACGATACACTGAGTGCAATGAAAGATTTCTCTAATATTCCTGGATATGTCATTAAAGTCCCAAGATGGTCATTTTAGTGAAGAATGGAAAAGAAAGCAAAGCTGGTGCCATACTCACAATATCCACCTTTTCAAATGTGTTTCCTCTTGAGTATCTCAGAAAATATGGAAAAATATTGCGATGTGTACATTAGGAAAGAAAATTAAGCGTTTTGTCAGCTGTTTACTGCTCTATTAATCCTGCTGCAGATTAGGCCAATGTCTAAGGCTGTGTATCAAAAACTAAGAAATTGCCTACATAAACAGCATATTGTGTAATCACGAGAGTGTTCAAATGTTTTAACCCTTTAACTGTCACTCACATTTTCGAACATAGAGGTGAAAGTGCACGATCCAAACTTAAATTTGTATAATTCATGAACGAAAACATTTTGTAACATGATATTGATGTACCATTTTCATGGTAATGCCATGTTTGATTTTTAAAATGGGTTTCAAAGGATGAATTTTGAGGTTTAAAGCTTTCAATTGATATATAATTTCTGTTGATTTCTGAAGTGTGATAGAGAAAAAGGCAACAAAGAAGACTTTTTTTGACAAAGGTCAGAACTCCTTTTCCGATGTAGATTTTTGAGCTGCACTCTTGTCATAAATTAATGCATTACTTTTCCTACATCACTTTTAACAAAAACATTGGTAAAATATATATTTAGGAGATTTAGACCTTTCCAACGATATATAGTTTGTCATGATTAGATTAGGATTTAATTGTAATATAGTGAAGTAAACTTAGGCGTGACAGTTAAAGGATTAATAACCGTCTATTATGACCAACAATGCAGTCTAGATAGGTAGCTCACTATGTTCGAAACTTCGAACACGCCCATATCGCCCAAAATGATGCCTTGGTAGGGAGCTCACTAGGTTTTGGGACGCACCCCAAATCTGTTCCTCATAATCACCCCCACCAAAACTGACACTATCAGCGCTAATGTTTGCCAACTCCATATGTAATTGATCATATATGACTAAAACGGGGAAATCTGTGCTATAAACGCATCTTAACACGATAACGAGCGTTATTTTGATGCTCCTGACAACGTTTGGATTATTTATTATTTAGCACGCAGCGCAGAGCCCAGCTAACATGCTAATGGCGGCTAACGGACTGTTTATGACTAAAAGCAAACCATTTGGTCCACCCCGTTCACTCTTAATACCCTGTTTAAAATGCACAAACGAATCTATTTAAGTATAATTATTATTTTGTGCAGCATACAAACACTTGTATTCTAAAACACAAATGGCGAGACGAAATAATACGGCCAGCCCATGTTAGCTTAGCTTAGCCTAGCCTAGCTCGTCCAAGTGTTTGTTTGTTTTTCCGTCATTTTTACAGAAGTTTGCAGAGTTAATATGAGCATATCGACTCCAGTCTCACCCATCAAACGCCGAATCCTCCGACAGCAACTATTCGTGTCCTTTAAAGCATCGTTTCATCTATATGTTACAGTTTACGCCATAAATGTTTGCGTCCAGACAAATACCTTGTTAGTCAAGCCTCCTAGTGGACACTAAGAGTCTGTTCACATAAGAAATATATGCAAGCAAATAAATAAATAAACAAATAATTAAATAAATATACACGCAGAAAGAACGACATGTTCTTTTGGTTATTAAAAGGTGTCATTTGGTCTGAAAGCTTTGGAATAATCACATCATTATTAGGCCTATTTAGGATTAAACAAATAAAGCTGGCTGCCTTTTTTCTCTTTAATTATTATTTAATTAATGCATGATACAAAGATATACTGCATACAGTGCAACGGAGAAAATTCACATAAAGTCAAGTTAGCTCTCTATGGGACATTGTCATTTATAGTAAATGGTGCTAAGAAATTTGCATTTAAAATACAGTAATAATGTTCAGCCAATAAAATGTAATTTTGACATCCCCTTTAACCAGTAAAATTTAAATCTATTTGCCATATGCTTCACATTTTTGGCAACAAGACAGGAAAGGAGACATTAGGACATGTTAGCTCATATATTCTCAAGAAAACCCCAAGGCTACATATAAATTATTTACATATAAATTATGGTTTCCTATATTTATAGGCCTATATAAAGGATAAGAAAAAATATATATATTATCTTTAGATCGATAGATAGATAGATCTTGCTGATTTTCACTTGTGCTATGATAATTGATTTGGATTTCCAAGATGAAACACAACATTGAAGATGTTAAATGCTTTTGAAACACTTTCTAGGCAGTGAAATTGCATCTAAATTTGTGTTCTAGTTTTTAGACATTTTCATACAAATCAAATATAGCAGCACAGGAAGATATGGAACTTTAATACAGATGTTTAATGAAACAGTAAGACCTTTTCACTTCTTTTCAGATAGTGAACATGCATTTGAATTTGTTTCAGACAATTTGTTTCAGAAAATTTGCCAAAAATAATTTACTATAATGGGACGAAGTCAGTTGAAAAGAAAAAGGTTGAAGATCATAACACATATTTTGTCCTAAATACATGTAAAATATAAAGTCAATTATTTGTTTCAAGCTGTGAATTCACAATTCGTCCCATGAAAGGTTAAGTAAAAAATTCTACATAAATATATGTTCCTGTTCCTGTTCCTGTTATATATATATATATATATATTTATAAAACACATATTTTATTGGTTTCCACATTTTAGCAAATTTCTCATAAATTTCAATTTAAAGTAGTTTGCCGTTTCTGGGAACCCAATAATGCTTTGCCCTATTGTTTGGCTGAATATTCACACATTTTGTTAAATCCTAGACAGAAACGGGGTCATCTGAGGTGATGTGGTGAACGTGGCACCTTTTCTTATGAAAAAAAAAGTGATATATCTATGTAGGAAAGCACCACGTGGACCTGGTCTCCATTCACAGTGAGGAGCTTCAGAACAGGACAGCGAGAAAAGCCATCCAGGCCTCCACTTCTCATGTATGGCTGGGTCTCCGTTACACCTGCACCTTCAACTTCTGGTTCTGGATAAAGAACAGAGAAGCAGGCTGCTACCAGAACTGGACACCTGGTCATGGGCCACATGGTTATGAGGAGTGTGGGCTGTCAGGAGCTATGGAGTCCACTGGAGGGCACCGTTGGGTCGGGAGGCCAGAGAGTGAAAGACTCAATTTTATCTGCCAAATGTGTACTAATGCATTTTAAAGGCAGGGTAGGTAATGTGGTTCCAAAACATTTTTTGTTATGTTGGTTGAAAGTCTCTTCACATCCCGATAGCAACCACTAAGTTAAGTGGTCTAAATTTATTTATATGTAGTTTGTGGAAGGCGTAGGACCATAAAATGTTCGTCCAATCAAAATGTTCGGTCTGAACATCCTTCTGTGTTTGACTTTAATTTAAAATTTGTCAACAGGAAAGTGTGGCCATGTGAAGAAAATGCACAACAGTGATTTAATTTCATAAGATAATGTAATAAGAACTTTTTATTATAATTGTTGAGTAGTACCAGCAAATATGTGATCTGTATCTGAACACATTTCTGGTTAAGGCTCTTTTATACCCTTTAATTGTTATATGCTTATTCTGAACATGGCTGTAATGTTTGTAATAATACAAATACATTTTGCACATTGTAATATGAATCATACTTTTTAAAATTGTAATGTTATAATGGAATTACAATATTGTACAAATACAACTTAAATATAATATTTGTTCAAGAAGTTTGTTGCACAACATAATTTTAATTATTATTCAAATTCTTTTTTTTATTATTATTATTTTTATTATTATTTAACTTAAATGTCAATTTAAGTTAAAACCACGAAACCTAAAATGTTGCTACCGTATTTTTTACGGTGAATTTCTGGCAACCACAACTGCCGTTTTTTTATTTTATTTTGTAATTTAATTTTGTCTCTGTAAGTCCAATGAAGGTCCCTCATGATTGACCTGCAGTTTAGGAGTTTCAAGCAAAAGAGTTGGGTTCCCAAGAGCAGGGGAGTGGCTTTAGACACAACAATGGTTGTGGGAGGGAACATTTCTAAAACTCTCACTGCGTCTCAATGTGCCTACTTATACTATGCCCTTAAAGTATGTACTCTTTTGGTTAAGAAAAAGTACACACTTTGAGTGTGTAGTAGAAGAGTATGCAAGCTGGGGAAGTCGTGGCCTAATGGTTAGAGAGTCGGACTCATAACCCAAAGGTTGTGGGTCCGAGTCTCGTACCAGCAGGGATTGTAGGTGGGGGGAATGAATGTACAGCGCATCCCACCTTCAATACCATGACTGAGGTGCCCTTGAGCAAGGCACCGAACCCCTAACTGCTCCTCGGGCGCTGCAGCATAAATGGCTGCCCACTGCTCCGGGTGTGTGTTCACGGTGTGTGTGTGTTCACTGCTGTGTGTGTGCACTAAGGATGGGTTAAATGCAGACCACTAATTCCTAGTATGGGTCACCATACTTGGCCACATGTCACGTATGAAAAAAAAAAGCTTTGGGTTATGACACAACTGCATCTTTAACTGATGCTCTGTCACATACAGTGGGTA